CTTCCGCCTCAGCCTTCCAAGTAGTCGGAACTACAGGCGTGTGCTACCATGCCCAGCCAATTTTTGGTTTATTGTAGAGACGAGGTCTCACCAAGTTACCTGGGTGGGTCTGAAACCCGCGGGCTCAGGCAATCCACTCGCTTCGGCCTCCCAAAATGCTAGGATTACAGACTGAGCCCCGATCCTGGTCAATTTTCTCCTTCTTGAGACAGATTGTTGGGTGCAGTGACTCAGGCCAGTCATCCCAGCACTTTGGGAGACCAAGGCGGAAGGATCGTTTAAGGCCAGGAATTCAAGACCAACCTGGAAAACATAGCAAGAACCCCATCTCTACCAAAAAAAAATAATAATAATTTAATAAATACATTTTTAAAATCAAGAGATTTTCCATATTCAGCTGCTTTGAGAAGGGTGCCACATGCGTTCAGGGACTCAGGCTGAGGCTGGCATGCATACCAGGTAGAGATGAAAGGGTAGGGTGGGCATGGAGGTGAGGAGACTCGGGGTCACTGTGGTCCCTTTCCTCCCAGGGCTCCGAGAAGGGTGCGGTGAGGCCCACAGCCTTCAAGCCCATGCTGCCGCGGTCGGGAGCCATGCTGCACTCCTCCCCTGAGAGTGCCAGCCACCAGCTGCACCCCGTCCCTCCAGACAAGCCCAAGGAACAGGAGCTGAAGCCTGGCCTGTGCTCCGGAGCACTGTCCGACTCCGGCCGGAACTCCATGTCCAGCTTGCCCACGCACAGCACCAGCAGCAGCTATCAGCTGGACCCACTGGTCACCCCGGTGGGGCCCGCCAGCCGCTTCGGAGGCTCCGCCCACAACATCACGCAGGGCATCGTCCTCCAGGACAGCAACATGATGAGCCTGAAGGCCCTGTCCTTCTCCGACGGGGGTAGCAAGCTGGGCCACCCGAGCAAGGTGGACAAGGGCCCTTCGTGCGTCCGCTCTCCCATCTCCACGGATGAGTGCACCATCCAGGAGCTGGAGCAGAAGCTCCTGGAGCGGGAAGGCGCCTTCCAGAAGCTGCACCGCAGCTTTGAAGAGAAGGAGCTTGCCTCCAGCCCCGCCTATGAGGAGCGGCCACGGCGCTGCAGGGATGAGCTGGACGGCCCGGAGCCCAAGGGCAGCAGCAGCGGCAAGTTGAAACAGGCCTCGCAGAAGAGCCAACGTGCACAGCAGGTGCTGCACCTGCAGGTGCTGCAGCTCCAGCAGGAGAAGCGGCAGCTCCGGCAGGAGCTCGAGAGCCTCATGAAGGAGCAGGACCTGCTGGAGACCAAGCTCAGGTCCTACAAGAGGGAGAAGACCAACTTCGGCCCCGCGTTGGAGGAGACGCAATGGGAGGTGAGGCCACGTGGCACTGGCAGACATGGGCAATCAGGGGTTGGGGACTGGTTCCTCTCTTCTACTGCTGGCTTTATGACCCAAAGAAGGGGCTCTGTGCAAACCACATGGGCGGTACACTTAGCTCTGAGCTTCCTACTCTTCCCACCATCACCTTTGTGGCCCCCAGGTCTGAATTTGTTAGCCTAGTCACTGACCGAGAAGCTGGAATCCAAAGAACTGAGGCCTAGTTGGGCTGAGGGCCAACCTCACTATATCTGTTTATAGGAAGCTCCAAAGAAGCACAAGCTGTGCCCGAGCTCCTGCAGGTCCAGGGGCCTGCCACTTTGTTTATTTATTTTTGTTTTTTGTTTTTTTGAGTTGGGGTCTCACTCTGTCGCCCAGGCTGGAGTGCAGTGGCACGCTCATGGCCACCCCAATGTTGACCTACTGGGCTCCAGTAATCCTTACATCTCAGCCTTCCAAGTAGCTGAAACTACAGGCATGCGCTACCATGCCCAGCTTATTTTTGATTTATTGTAGAGACAAGGTCGCCAAGTTGCCTGGGCTGGTCTCAAACCTTTGGGCTCAGGTAATTCACTTGCCTTGGCCCCCCAAAGTGCTGGGATTACAGGCTGAGCCACTGAGCCCAGCCTGGGCCTGCCACTTTTGAGAGAAAGGGCCCTACACACTTGTGAGAGTGGCCCCATTAGTGGCAGGTCTCAAATGACAGAAGTGGTTACTGCTCGCAGAAGTGAAAGGAGAACTTCTGTTTGGTGGAATGGGAACCAAGAAGAGGAAGAAAAGGTTCACTCACACACACTCACCCAGGCACACCTAAGGTGAGGCATCTGGACAAGCCGTGCTGGGGAACCAGTGTCACCCCTGTGTCCTACTGGTAAGAAAGAAGCTTTTCTCACTGAGTGGCCCCTGGGGTGGCGGGAGGGCAGGTTAGAGGAGTGGGTATGGCAGTTCTGTCACTCACCCTAAAGATTCCCACCTGGAAAGGGGATGGGAGTCGCTGTGTCTGGTTAGTCCAGCATCACGCCAGGTGTGGGTACCCTACCCTCAGCTCCTCAGCCATCTCTTTGCACTGGAGCATCTGGTACTTGTTCTGGGTGACAAATGTTTTCAGGAGTAGAGAAGAAAAACGTCCTTTCTATGGAAGAGATGGGTGAGGGACTGGCTAGATGAGAAACTGGAGTCATTTTTTGTCTTGTCAGGTTTCTCAAAGAGAAAAGGCTGGGAGCCACAGGCACAGTACATTTCCTTTTTCCCATTCATGCTGTTCCAGTAGACTCTATCTCCACCTGGTCTCAGTTGTGTTGAGCTATAGCAGAGACGTAGAGCTCATGCCAGCATTGGGCACCCAGTCTTGTCTGTCCAGTCTGGACCTAAGCTGGACACCGCTGTGACCTTGTTTCCAGGTTGTCCAGTCTGGCTGCCTAGTAAAATGATAAAATAAATAATAATAGATAATAATTGATAGTGATGCATACATGTATTATTATAAACACATTTATAATAATAATGACTTAGAAAGTATAAAGTGTCAGACCCTAGGTTATCTCATCTGTTCTTACAACAACCCTCTCCCCATGGTTATGACTGATCCTCAATTTACAATTCAGGAAACCAAGACACAGAGAGGTTATGATAGCAAATAGCTAGTTAAGTGACTAGCTCAAGGGCTGATATATGTTAATATCAGAGCCAGGATTTGACCCAAACAGTTGAATCACTACACCGTACTGCCACCATGCTGACATGTCCAGGATTCCCCCGATGTAAGTGATCGAGCCAGGATTCAAAGCCAGGCCGGTGCCTCAGCCATGATTTCATAGAGCTTCTTTCATGAAACCTCTACAGGCTCGGCCTTGGAATGAAATTTTGGTCCCAACCAAGCATTGTGAGTGGGGCTGAATCTTCTCTAGGACTGGGTAGTGTTTCACTGAGAACAAGGGGGTGCTTCTCCTGTAAACAGAAAAGTGAGGAAATATTAAGGTGGCTTCCAGTCATTCCAAGAATGCATCCTATAAAGCCCCAAGCCCTGGTCTTCATTTACTGTTGAAACACAGCCAGCAAGACTGGCCTTGGTGTCCTGTTGAGCCACCCATGACCCCAAATGGCCAAGACCCCAGAGACACATAGGTCTGATCAGTGACTTTGGCTTTCATCATTGCTCTTGGCCAAATTTTGATGGGGAATAGGAAAAGAAATGGAGAAGGAAAGGGGCAGGGAAGAAGGCACTAGTTCATTATTTGGCAGTTACACATTGGGCAGTCTCTGAGCCAGGCGGTGTGGGCCACTGGAGCACAGCAGTGAATGTGTGATGTCCACTTTACCCCAGTAGAGAAAAGAGAGGAAGGCCGAGTGCATGCAGGGATGAGGTCAGAGGGTGTGGGCATAAACATGGGTGGTAGAAATCTGGCCAGGTGCCGTGGCTCATGCCTATAATTCCAGCACTTTGGGAGGCTGAAGTGAGAGGATTGTCTGAGCCCACAGGTTCGAGACCAGTCTGGGCGATTTGGCAAGACCTTATCTCTACAATAAATCAAAAAATTAGCCAGGCGTGGTTGCGCGTGCCTGTAGTTCCCGCTACTTGGAAGGCTGAGGTGGCAGGATCACCTGAGCCCAGAAGGTATTGAGGCTGTGGTGGCCGTGAGCATGCCACTGTACTCCAGCCTGGATGACAGATTGAGATTCCAACTCAGAAAAAAAAAAAGAAAGAAATCTGGATGACACAGAAACCAATATCATTGCTGTTAAATGTGGGTAAGCCAGGCTTGGTGGCTCAGCCTGTAATCCCGCGCCTTTGGGAGGCTGAGGTGAGTGGATTGCCCGAGCCCGCGGGTTCAAGACCCACCTGGGCAACTTGGCGAAACCTCATCTCTACAATAAATCAGAAATTAGCTGGGCATGGTAACACAAGTAGTTCCAGCTACTTGGAAGGCTGAGGCAGAAGGATCGCCGGAGCCCAGCAGGCGAGGCTGCGGTGGCCGGGAGCAGCCACTGCACTCCAGTCTGGGCGACAGAGTGAGACTCCAACTCAAACAAAAAAAAAAAAAGTGGGTGATGAAGCTATGAGCAACGGGAAGATTAACCCACTGGCCATCGACTTGCACCTAGCCAGAGGCTTGGGTCAGAGTGAGATTTGGACTCTGAATTGGACCGGGGAGGGGAGGGGTGTGAAATGGGCACATGGACAGACCAAACCGGGATCCAGCATGAAAAGAGCCTCAAAGAAGGCCTTGGCCATGGGCCATCCAGACCAGGGAAGAACGTGCTAGTTCATTATTTGGCTGTTACACATTGGGCAGTCTCTGAGCCAGGTGTGGTGTGGGCCACTGGAGCACAGCAGTGAATGTGTGATGTCATCTTTACCCCAACAGAGAAAAGAGAGGAGGGCCGGGTTCATGCAGGATGAAGTCAGAGGGTGTGGGCATAAACATGGGTGGTAGAAATCTGGCCAGGTGCTCACGCCTATAATTCCAGCAGTTTGGGAGGCTGAAGTGAGAGGGTTGCCTGAGCCCACGGGTTCGAGACATGGCCATGTCAGGAGCCACTTTGTTTATTTTAGGCAGCTGAGCGGTCACTTCCCTAGGAGAGAACACTCACCTTTTGGCGCTGTGTACCCCTCCACCCCTCCATAGGTGTGCCAGAAGTCGGGTGAGATCTCCCTCCTGAAGCAGCAGCTGAAAGAGTCCCAGGCAGAGGTGAATGCCAAGGCCAGCGAGATCCTGGGCCTGAAGGCACAGCTGAAGGACACACGGGGCAAGCTGGAGGGCCTGGAGCTGAGGACGCAGGACCTGGAGGGCGCCCTGCACACCAAGGGCCTGGAGCTGGAGGTCTGCGAGAACGAGCTGCAGCGCAAGAAGAACGAGGCAGAGCTGCTGCGGGAGAAGGTGAACCTGCTGGAGCAGGAACTTCAGGAGCTGCGCGCCCAGGCCGCCCTGGCCCGCAATGGCGCGCCCGCCTTCCCCGAGGACATCCCTGCCCTGCAACGGGAGCTGGAGCGACTGCGGGCCGAGCTGCGGGAAGAGAGGCAAGGCCACGACCAGATGTCCTCGGGCTTCCAACACGAGCGGCTGGTGTGGAAGGAGGAGAAAGAGAAGGTGATCCAGTACCAGAAGCAGCTGCAACAGAGCTACCTGGCCATGTACCAGCGGAACCAGCGCCTGGAGAAGGCCCTGCAGCAGCTGGCCCGCGGGGATGGTGCTGGGGAGCCCCTGGAAATTGAGCTAGAAGGCGCTGACATCCCCTACGAGGACATCATAGCCACTGAGATCTGAGGGACCGCCTGAGAGGGTGAAGTCTGGGAACTTGGCGTTGGGAAGGAGGGCTGAGCTCATTCAACGGGGGGTCCCCTCTGCATCTCCCCTGCTCATCAAGTCAGATCCCTCTGAGAGAAGCCGCCTCCTTGGGCACAGACCCAGGAGCCTCAAGGGATAGATAAGGGTTGCAGAATGGCCTTTCCTTCCCTTTCTGGTGATCCCTGAAGCCCACAGAACCCCAGGCCATGACTCCTTTGATTCTTTCCAGGAGATGGATCCGGGGATCTCCATGCTTTGGTGAAGGGTTCCCTAAACTTTGGCCTTTGTTCAAGTTAGTTAGAGATACTCGTCCCCAGGGAAGGTGACCAAGTACAGACGTTCCCTTCCACTTCTCATCCTAACCTCCTTTCCCCTCGGACACATTGGAATGTCTTAGGAATAGAAAGAAGCCATGTGTGACCAGAAGTCTTGGAACCTGGCCCCGTCAGAGCCTGAGCTGTTTTCCTCTGGCCGTGGAGGTATCATGTTAGAATGGGCGGTTCCAGCCCCCGGCAAGCCACAGGAAGGAGGGGAAAGCCAGGCAGCCCAGCAGTGTTGAGACTTCACTAGACAGGGAAGAAGCCAGGTTGTAAGTGGCAGAGTTGGGTGTGGATCTTGGGGCCCAGCCTCTGTCTGGGGATTCCTGCTAACTGGAGCTGAGCAGGCGTTGGAGAGCTGGTGGCCCTTGACCTCAGTGACCACTCTTCATAAAGCCATAGAAACTGAGACTCTGGGGTGGGTGCTGGGAAGGGAAAGCTGAAGGCACTGTGGCACAGGGAGCCTTTCCAGGCAGAGGGTGTGGCTTTCCAGCCACCCCTGGGGAGCCTTCCCGATCCTTCCAGCTGGGGCTAGAGTCCAAGATTCCCCACCTGGCCCAAGGCTGACCACTAGTTGCTCTGGGCTGTTTTTTCTTCTCCAGAATCAAGCTGTTGCTTGGATCCAAAATAACCCAGATCCACCAAGATGGCACGTGTGTGACCTGGGCACTGCTCTCCTTCACCTACTACCAGATTCAGCCACACACATTTCCCCCTCAGCAACTTCTGGGCCAAGTTCTTAGGTCTTTACAAGTCAGGACAGGTTCCCCAAGTGCCACTGAATGAGAGCCCCAGCCAAGAGAAGAAGAGGCGCACGCACAGCCCTGGCCACCAGCTGTCCTCCCTCCACTTTGAGGCCCTGTGCACCCTAGACTGTAAAGGATCCAGAGAGTGTCAGCTTTTCTCAGGGGCTCAGGCAGTGCCTGGGAGGGGCCGGGGCTTCTCTCCTGATGGGGTGCAGAGCTGAGGGGAGGTGGTGTGGGAAGATAAGGTGGAAATTCTCAATTGCTTGGTTCAGGGAATTTTCTTTTTTCCTTTCTTTTCTTTTTTTCTTTTGGTGTCTTTTCAGAAGCAAGCCAGACCTAGCAGGCTGTTCCATGTTCTATTTTTGACTGTAGCCACAGCTGCTGTTCTCAGGATGGCCAGCCCTTGCAAGATTCCTGTGCCTCCTGCCTGCTGAGATGAGGCGGAGAGTCTGGGTACTTGACGGTCCAAAGCCAGTTTCCAGTTCTGCCCCCTGGGCTGGCCCTTTGAGGCCCTGGGGTGGGGAGCTCTTCCCTTCTTCCCTCCCACTCCTTCTGGGGCCCACCACAGCTCTTCCCTGAGGGTGGGTTAGAGGGCAGGGTCACCTTCCCTGTGGTTGGCTCTGCCTTCTGGTTCCTGGAGTTATCCCGTGCCCGTCCTGCTGTTGTCAAATGACAGGAATTTTTCTGGAATTTCAAACCAATGCTCTTAGTCACAGGCTAGATTTAAACCTGAAATCTACAGGCCACAAGCCCTCTCCTTGCCTGAAGGGTGGTATACGCTCCACTGGGCACAGTTCAGACAAGTCAGTCGTCCTACTGTTTGGTCTCTCCATTTCCACCAGCCTGTGCCTTGTTTGAGTCTTTTCTCCCAGTGAGATGCCCATGGAGAGAGAGAGAGAGAGAGGGGCTGACCGCCCCTCCCCAGGCTTAAGCTCCCTCCTTCCCCAGGAAGAGTGGCCAAAAGCCCAGTACTCTGCCCTCAAGATCTTGCTTGAGAAGACGGTTGCCGAGCCCAGGGGCGTCTGCTCAAGCACAGAGCCTGCTCCCGATGGTGCTGTGACAGTACCTCCACCCAAGGGGGGAGGTTGGGAATGCAGCATTCTCCACATCTCTGTGGCCCGGCCTCAGGCCACTCCAGAGATGTCCCCCCAAGGCCTTGCACAACATCTGAGGTGGCAGATGCCCTCCCTGAGTTGCCACCAGCCCAAGGCCCAGGGTGGCCCACAGTGGCACCAGAATGCAAGTGACATGTGGCCTAGTGACCACCTTCCTGTGGGTTCTCTTCCCTTCCTTATCTAAAAGCATCCTCGGACCATGCTAGACCTCACCTCCTTGGAAGGAGGTTTTGAGCAGTAGAGGCCTCGAGCAGACAACAAGGCCCAAACCCAGGTGGGATGGAGGGAGCTCCCTGCTCTTCTCTCCGGGCACCTCTGCTGGCACCTTGCTCAATCAGACTGACTGCTCTGCTCCCCCAAAGGACACTAATCCTGAAAGTGCTCCATCTCTCTGCCTCCGAACCTTGGAATAACCGGACTCCCATGGGACACCCTCATGAATATCTTCCAATGACCTCCTGCCAAGCCCACACAGCCCCATGGGCATTTAGCTCACATGGGCCTGGTGTCATCTCTGCCCTGAGAGGTCCTTGCTGCGTCTCTTGTCCCTGGCCCCAGCCTGTGCCCTCTCTTAGGAGAATATTGCCCAAGCACGAGCCAGGCTGGCTGTCAGATGGGCAGCTTTGGGAGAGGGGTTTCCTCCATGGCCCCTGATGCAGGCCGTGCTCCTGGACCAGCAGGGCTACTCTCCTCACCCCTCTGCAGGTGGTCTTTGGGTTGCCGCTGTGGGCAGAGCTGGGCTCTCCCCAGAGGTTGGCTTTGACAGACTGGCATCTGGAAGAATCTGTACATAGTTATTTTTCTCTTACTTGTTTGGTTTGGTTTGCTTTTGATGGCTTCGTTTTATTTCTGATGTCACCGTTTGGCCATGTAAACTATTTCTGGTAATTTTATGTTTTTATTTATGAATAAAGAATGCCATTTCTCATGCACTCCAGAGCCACGTTTGTCAGCCCACGTCACCCTCTCCATCTCCTCACCACAGCCTGGGACCTCCCTTGTAACAGGAAAGGCGGTGTCCCTCCCACCAGCGAGGGAGGTGAGAAGGGCAGTGCAGCACAGTGGAAAAGCGTGGGCCCAGGGGTCAGTTAGGCTTCAAGCTGGCCCTGGGACCCTATCTGTGACATAGGAAGAAAGAGGGCTAAAGGACAGGTGCCCCTGCAGAGTCAGAAGGTCAGTGCCAAAAGATAGCCCCTCCCCCACCAATCCCCATACCTACCTTGTCTCGCCCACTGGCTGCTCCCCTCACCAGCCAACTCCTGGGCGTCGCATATGGCCGTTTTGGCAGGAGACCAGAGTGGCTATTGTTGCCACTGCCCCAGGGCCCCCTAGCGGGGAGGGTGAAGTTACCACCGTGGCCATCTGTCCAGCCTTCCCTGTACCAGCCTGCCTGGTTTACTTCCACAGGCATTGCCTACTGACTGACTGGGCTCAGAGCCTAGGCTCAGAAGGCTTCTGTTCAAGTGGCAGGAGAGAGAAAGGGAGTGTCATGAGGACACAAGGCGGCCGGGAGGAAACATAGCGACAGATGACAATGCCTCCAAGGTGGGAAGGTTAGTATGAGCTGGGGTATTCAGTGGCAGGCAGGAGAGGACCTGGGCTCAGAGGAGAAGGGCGAAAAGAAAGGTTAAGAAACATGTCTCCATGCCAGATATCCACATGGCTCCCTGCTCTCCTCACAGGAGCAGCACTTGGAAGCTGGAGAGGCACGAAGGCCGGTGCCGTGGCCCCAACAAGCAAGGAAGCTGAGAGCGGACCGAGTCAGGATGGGAGCCCACCTCTGTCTAACTCAGAAACCCCAGCCTTGGAGTAGAGGGGCCATGTCAGACCTTGGGTAACCCTTCCCGGTCTTGCTCCTAGCCCTAGTCCCGGGCTGGTGACCTCACTGAAGCACGCCTCCCACTAATCACACCCTTGGGTGGCCCCCTCCCCTTTAATTCAGATGGACCCAGAGATTCACCTCAACCAGTGGAATTCAACAGAAGTGGCACTCTGTCAATTCAAGCCCAAGGCTGGAAGCCCTGGTGGCTTCTACTTTTATATTCTGGAGGACCCTGAGCTGCCATGTGAAGAGAAACCTTGCAGGTTACAAGGGCCCACTTGTCCCAGCGTCCCAGCTAGACCTTCTACAGCTGAGTCCAGATGAGTGATGACCCAAGACCTAGCTAATCCCACTTGGAACAGAGCCTTGATTCCCCCACACTCTGCTCTGCCAGAATCCTGACCCCTAGATCCCTGAGCACATCAAATGGCAATGTGTTGAAGCTACTGAAGTCATGGGACTCTGTTACATAGCACAGAAATAATCAAAACAGCCACCAACAACCCCCTTGTTGCTGCCCCGTAAGCCTGTCTTCATCCAAAGGGCTCGAATGATATAAAAGCAGAGCCCCTGGAAAGGGACAGGACCATGGGAAATATCCTTCCCTCTGGAAGAGAAGCAGCGAGGTGGGGAGAAAAGGCTTCCCCACTCCACTTCCTCCAGAGTCCTGTCGAGGAAAAAACCTTCCTGGAGCCCACCCAAACCTGCTTATTATTATTTTTTTGATTTTTTTTGTGTGTGTTTCTTTTTTTTTTTTTTTGAGTTGGAGTCTCACTCTGTCGCCCAGACTGGAGTGCAGTGGCCGCTCCCGGCCACTGCAGCCTCAACCTGCTGGGCTCCGGCGATCCTTCTGCCTCAGCTTTCCAAGTAGCTGGAACTACAGGCACGTGCTACCATGCCAAGCTAGTGTTTGATTTATTGTAGAGACAAGGTCTCATCAAGTTGCCCGGCCCAGGTCTCAAACCCACGGGCTCAGGCAATCCACTCGCCTCAGCCTCCCAAAGTGCTGGGATTATAGGCTGAGCCACCAAGCCCGTCCAATCATGCTTATTTTAGGTAAAAAAAGAACAACAGAGAAAGGAGAGAGAGCAAGACAGAAAAAGAGAGAAGGAGGAAAAGAGAAAGCATGAGGGGGAAGAGAGAATGATAGAGAAAGAAAAAGGTGGGGGGAAGAAAGAAAGGGAGGGAGAGAGAAAGAGAGAGGAAAGAGAGGAATAGAGAAAGAGGGAGGGGGGAGAGAGAGAGAGGAAAAAGCGCGGGGGGGTGGTGGAGAGAGAGAGCTCCTCCTTCACCTGACAACAAGCTGCTCCATCCTCAGCCTTCACCACCACACACAGTCTCAGAGACTTTTGATCAAGCCCCAGGTGAACTCACTGCACAACTGCACTTGTAGGAAGGAATCAGCCCATGGTCATCTCTGAGAAACCTCAGTGACAGGTGCTTTCTCAGTTATCTGCAAGAGGTCAGGCTGCCCCCAAATATCTCCCCAGCCCGGGTACCACAAGGCCTGAAATATCATCATTTCATGCATGCATTGTATTCCTTCAATAAATATTTATTGAACCCCTACTGTATGCTAGACTCTGTTCTAGATACCAGAAATACAGAGGTGAGCAAAACAGTCACGGTTCTTTCTCCTGGTGGAGTTTACACTCTGAAAGTAAACAAACAAGGCCATTTGCCACTATAATAAGTGCTATGGAGGAAATAAACAGGATGGCATAAGCTGGTTGTGGAGAGACCGGAGGTCTCTCTGTATCTGGAGGGGGTGAAATGGGGGAGATTGTTCGGAGAGAAGGAAAAGTTGGAGAACCATGAACGTCCCTTGATTTCACCATTTTGAAAGACCATGCCAGTCACTGTCTTTTTCTTTTTCTTTTTTTTTTTTTTTTGAGTTGGCATCTCATTCTGTCACCCAGGCTGGAGTGTAATGGCATTTTCATGGCTCAGGCAAACCCTCCTCAGCCTCCCACGTAGGTAAAACTACAGGCACATGCCACCATGCCAGGCTAATTTCTTAAAACAAACTTTTTTAGAGACAAAGTCTTACTATGTCACCCAGGCTGCTCTCAAACTCCTGTCCTCAAGTGATCCTCCCTCCTCAGCCTCCCAAAGTGCTGGGGTTACAGGCGTGAGCTACTGTACTCAGCCCACTGTCCTTTCCTAACTTGGATGACCCTCTCCATGATAAGTTCTTTCCTTGGAAATACCTTCTCTGGGGGCCTCAGCAGATGCCTTCTCAACAAGGGACTTGAAACATTCCTGTCTACCCCAGCTCCACTTGTTCCTGCCCCTGGACATCTCTACCCTTCCCCTCTATCCAAAACAAGTTCTTCCCACCACCTCCCAACAAAGTGGGGAAAATTGTTTGGACCTTTGCAAAGCCTTAAGCATTCACTACACATGGCTCTTCCCCCACGGGAAAATGAACGATGAAATTTTGTGAGATGGTACAATGCTTATAGAGATGCTGAAATTAAAATAGCTTCTTTCTAGGTGACTCGATTAAGAAACGTCCAGCTTCAAAGAACTTATCCATATAATTTTCTTGTTGCTACTGTTTGTTGTGTCTTGGTGGGAGAAAGGAGTGTGTTTACTGGGGCTCTAAGCAGAAGTTGACCCAGACTCCTATATAATCCAGACTTCCCGGGGAATCTCTATCCTACCAATCTCTGCTTGCAGCGTTCAGCCATTGGTAACTCCCGCCTCACCATTATCCTCTCTATCCAATCAGATCCTAGATTGCAATGTGTATGTGTGTATGTAAGGGGTGTGAATATGTGTGTGTGTGTGGAACTGGCCACTCCTTTTAAAGCCCTCCTCTACACCTTTCTTTCTACATCTATGGGCCCAGCTGAGGTCATCAAAAGAATTCCAAGGTGTCTCAGCTTAAACATCTTCTAATTCCAACCACCTCCATCTTATAGATGTAGAAAAGTGAGACTCAGACAGGAGAGAGGTCTTTCTCAAGATCACGTGACTGGGTGAGGATAGACCTAGTCACCTCATAACTCTGCTGACGTCCTCACCTCGCGCTAGTCCACTCAATTCCTTGACACACACAGCCAGGTATACGCCTCCAATGCTGCTCCCATTATGCCCTTGCCCTACTCAAAACCTTCAATGTCGCCCCAGTAACTGCAGAATAAACCCAACCCCCATAGCTGCCTCTCAGATCTCTTCATTTTATGGTTCCAATACCCAGTTTGGCAAACCTGACTCTGACCACAGGGGCCAGAGCGCGTTCCCGAAAACAGTAAGTCTAGCACCACTGTAAGCTCAGTCAACAATGAGGGGTTCCTGCTGGTCAGTGGCTCATGCCTGTAATCCCAGCACTTGAGAAAGCTGAGGCGAGAAGATTGCCTGAGCCCAGGAGTTCGAGACCAGCCTGGGCAACTTGGTGAGACCTTGTCTCTAGAATGAATAAAAAAATTAGCTGGGTGTGGTGGCATGCACCTGTGGTTCCAGCTACTTGGAAGGCTGAGATGGAAGGATCATCTGAGCCCAGAAGCTGGAGGCTGCAGTTGCCGTGAGTGTGACACTACACTCCAGCCTGAGTGACAGAGAGAGACTTCAACTCAAAAAAAAAAAAGAGTTCATTTTGTGAGTCAAATCTTTATGAAAAGACCCTGTCCTGCTGCCCAGTCCTCTGTTCTACCCCGAGACCCTCAACAGGAGGCAGCATGGGACAGCAGCTAAGTGTCTACTCAGCAGAAACAGCTAGCTGAGTTCACCTCCAGACTACCCTGCTGCTGAGCTGTGTGATACTAGTTAAGTTACTTAACCTCTCTGGGCTTCAAAGGGTTGTTTTGACAATGAAATGAGATAATACCCAATAAAGGTTAAAGTATTGCTACCACTTTTTTTTTTTTTTTTTTGAGTTGGAGTCTCACTCCTTTGCCCAGGCTGGAGTGCAGTGGCATGCACGCTCACAGCCACCCCAGCATCGACCTCCTGGGCTCCAGCGATCCTTCCGCCTCAGCCTTCCGAGTAGCCAGAACTACAGACGTGTGCCACCATGCCCTGCTATTTTTTATTTTATTGTAGAAACGAAGTCTCGCCAAGTTGTCCGGGCTGGTGTTGAACCTTCAGGCTCAGGCAATCCACTCGC